CATGTCTTGTTTGGAAAACTGTGACAACCGCAGTACGTCTTGTCTAAGTGGATTTGTAAGATCACGCACTCCTCGACATAGTATTTTATCTTAACTTTTAAGAAAGATCTTGAAATCTATCACTGTTTGATAAGATAGCAAACTTGTAAAAGAGGTTTAGGAACTCGTGAGTAGTGACACGTGATTCACATACGATCAGTTTAGCTATTCTCCAAGCAGATCCTAGGGTTGCAAAAGACTGTATCAAATTAGTCAGGCAGTATCAATTCGCCAGAGAGTATTGACCCTTCTCTGGCGAAGAGATACTGCCTGGCCAATTTGATACTGTCTTTTGCCACCCTAGGATCTGCTTGGAGATTAGAGTTTAGCCGCCGTTGATGGATATGCATTACGTAAAGATTATTCCATGTTGCGATACGTACCTGGATGGCACTACACGCCTCATAGACTGGGATGAAAGTATGCGTGTCACAGGAATATCAAGTCTTTGATCAAAAACCATTTGTCACATCTTATCAATTCAAGACGTTATTGTTTGAACCATAATGAGCCATAGCTTTTTAATTCGTGATTTATTCTAGAAAGAAATGGACCATTGGGCGCATCGAAACCTCCTTTTTAATTGCCCACTTGGCGTGTAAAGAATATCCAATGCTACAATGAAATAGTATAAAAGAATTTTAATGGCATAATAGGTGTGACAAAATTTACAATTATTCTAATTGAGATGGTATAATAAGATCGTCTACTAAGAAAATAACAGTAATTATAGACACATAGATACCTACATTTAGCATATTCTGCCATAATGATGCACACCATCTATGCCTTATGTAGCGATCGTTGTAGTATGCAAAAATGTCAATTACGTGAGAAATGCCTGTTTTCACAATCTCACATCTTGCATGATAACTGTTCTGTGCATCTAGAAAAATATTTCATCGAAACTGGCAACATAATTTTCATCTAAAGATTTACTATACCTACGAATGGCCATGTGGTATATTAATTTAGTTCCAAAAATCGGTAAGAGTATTTTTTCATCATTCAAAATGATGTGTAAGTTATATTTCGTCACATTGCGTATTGTTTTATCGTTTTCTTGTGGCAAGCTCTAAAAACGTTTGTTCTTTTTTCTATATTCTAACATTAGCTTTCCATATCAAATAGTGCAGAACGGAACACTATGACTCCAGACACTATTGCAGGAAGTCCTTCACCCCACCGAGTGTGAAACAATGTCCCCTTGATCTTCGATAAAAAGTAAACTAATTCTAATTTGAAACCATCGAATTTCCGGAGACAAATGGTTTCTCCCCACTCCAAGTACGGGCTTATCAAGGACATTGCATTCACGGGAAATTTATATAGATGACCCTTTGTTCCGGAGTCCTGATTAGTTTTCGGAGCTAACAAGGAGAAATAATTAAAATCGGTAGGGATATCGGTCATGGCTTTCGTTTCTGACTCTTGCTGAAACACGGGACGAACGGATGGGTTGGAAACATTTAGAGAGAATTACCTCGGAGACCTTTAGCATTAGGGTTGATGTGAGTTGTAGATTTGTTTTAACCCTCAGAGACAACTTGATGACCTGGTCAATGAGTTAATCTATTTTACCCTGGAAACGTAATTTGTACGCCCTCCTGTGACCGCACGGGACAGCGATTCTTCTGCTCATCTAAGAGGAGATACAATCTTGTCTTGCAGACAGACACTGTTCTTATTACCTCGCATTTTTTGTGCCTTTCAACATAAATTGGCAGTCTAAACATCAACACCCTGCATAACGTTGTTGCTTGCTTACACATGCCTTGCGTTACTGTAATATCATCCATGGTGGTTTTAGATTAAATTACACTACGGCAGTGTTTAATTAATTATATACAGACAGCATGTTGAACTGGCTCCGTAAATAAAGACTAAGTAAGATACATATATAACTCGCAAAGACTCTGTCATTACATGTATCACTTGTTTTCTTTTTGCAGTTTTGTTTACTATTTGTTGAAGTTGCGAGAACTTTCAGTGTTCTATCACTAACAATGACTTTAACCATGCGCATTGAAATTGTACTCAGCAAAAAGGACGCTATCCTTTACATATGGTAAGCGGTCTAATCAGTAGGAGAGGAGGAGCCGCCTGAAGGAACCATTTAACGTGGCACAAAACAGGGACAGCTGGCGCGCTATGCAGAATGCCAAGTCTGCCCACCCAGTACGCACAGAATTAATTAGAGATGCCGTTCAAAAGTCTTGTGGACAAAGCCTATTCGCGTGCACAGCCTTAGCAGTACTAACTTTAATCATCTGCATAATGTTTCTTTTAACCTTGGAATCGTACCAATAAAAGTTAGATCCCAGGCAAGCGGTAATAAATCTTAACAATCACTTAGTCGAAGCTGACGATTTATTACGTGCAACTCTGCAAACCCAGAGGCAAACAGTTAAGATTTACTATCATCATTTCTCTGCGCGGTATCTGGTAAGTTTGAAACAGTCAATCCCACATCTTGAACATGGCACAGACGGCGTTTTGATCATCCGACTGTTTTATGGCTCAATCAATAGATATGCAGCCATTCTCTCCACAAATTGGTCTGTTAGATATGTTGCAGCATAAGTTACAAATCACAGCGTATGTGTATCTGGTTAGAGGCATCCAAAAGTGTAATACCACATCTGTCTTATCCATCGTTTCGCATCGTTGCCGTAACAAGCTCAAGATCAGTAAGAAAAAAAATAAAGTTGCAGTCTTTACTCGCCAGATGGGAGAACAGCACTACATCGTTAAAAATCCAATTGGCAACGTTTGATTAGAAATTACTGCAACTGTGCCAGGCCTATCTCCCTCAGATCTGCGTAACGTGGCCATGGGGAATCTACTCTTCACATCTGCATATCGTGACCATTGTTGCAGTGTAAACCTACTCGGAACCGCAGGCATATTCCACATATCACACATGCCCGTGATCATGGGTGATTCTCATTATTATCTACATAAATCCTCACCAGAGATCGTTTACCTCGTGTAAGGCTATCTCTCTCCGCTATCCGGAAATAGAGATGTGCCTCCATGCATGCTACAGGTCGCGGGGTCGGAGAAACATAATGTAAAAGCAAACCCCTTTAAACGACTGGAGTCCCTGCTTCTCTTGTAAACGTAAAGGTGGCTCAACAATGTCTCTATGGCAAGCTCCATGGGACTATTTCCCGTTTTCCTGTCCTCCATGGAGAGAAAACAACACTTGAATAAGGTCTTTTCCATAGGGGCACTGCCATTCGTTATTTGAAAAAGGTTTTTGATGGAGAGTCTATGATTGATTGAAGCTCCTATAGGCTTTTCTGAAAGGGTAGCCGCTCGCTCGCCTTCTCCGTGGATCTCATTGGACTTTTTTTATATGCTGGAGTCAGCGGTGCGATACTGCCTAACCGCCAGTAATGTGCAATTCCGGGAGACCCTGTGGAAAAGAAAAGTTTGAGCGTTTGAGGACGATGTTCCGGGGCGTGAGTCGCGCCGCCAGTGGAACATTGGTGCATCGTATCTTTATTGATCCGTTGTTTTTCAGGGCGAGATAAATTAAGGCTAGGTAATGGCGGGTTCACACTGTACATCAATATGAGGTACCTGGACAGTAATTGTAACAGACACGCTGAACGGTGGACCACTGCGGGAGCAAAAAGGTAATTTGACCGGTCGATACGAGTGAAAATGCTTTTGATTTATTCTTTGGGATTCATCAATTCGCGAGATTGACTAAGTGCGGCGGGGTACACAATGGACACTTGTTTCCGTGTCGGGCTAGACAAATGTGTCTTCAGTCGCTTCAGATGAAGGTCTCTCCAATAGCGGCATCAAAGCCAGGCCGAGTGTCTGCGGATCGAGAGAGGCAGGAAATCCGCACGCAGTCAGATGAACGAACGGCCGGGGGAGAGCTTGTCTTTCGCCACACGATCGGTTTCGTCTAATCCTGCCACGTGACCGTCGTTACACGTGGATTTGATGAATGCAGCTCCTTGTGTCAACTCTGGAGAGGTAAGGAGACTTAATATGGATGCAGGACGCGCGCTGTGAGCGCCAAGGCGCTGCCATTGTACGTGCTTCACCGTGTACCATCTCTCGTGCGATCTCGCATGCGTCTGATGAGGGTGCTTGTTACAAAATTATGGGTCCGGATTCCTAATCTACCTTGAATTCTCGAGTGCCATATTTCCAGGACACCGATACCTGGTGGATCGTCCGATATTGGATTTATGCGTTCTATTAATATCGACCTTAAGTGGATTAAGAAGTATTAGTACAGATATGTGGTCGGCAGTTTTCGACGAAGGATCGGGGTCATCGCACAATGAGGGACTCCCGTCTCTTTCGGTATCGGACTGTGTCTTTTAAGTGAAAAATCGGAGGCAGACGGCCCGTGCTTCCATCTGTGTGCCTCCGGGCGGACGGCATGCTTAGATCGCTGTGCCTGCAGGCTGATTTTATCTGCGGGGCGTCAGGATTATCCTCTGTCATGTGGAGAAGGTGGTGGAGGATCGGCGGGAAGTTATACGTGCCACAAATCAAGAACGGGTGTCATCACATGGCAGCGTTACAGCGTGCCAGCCTCTGGGATATATTACTGAAGTGATGTTGTACCGCAGACGACAACTGATGACGAGAAGGCGGGCAGCGACCATGGCAGTTACAGTCAAACGGTACAGTACTCGACATGCCTTCCTAAGCCGCTCCTCTACATAAAGGATTGCGCCCGGTAAGCAAAGACGAGGTAGGCGTTGAATGCTTGATTTTGTTCAAATTGGAAAAAAGATATAGCGCTTGAATTGCTTGGTTTATGGAGTTAGTAGACGTTGTGGATCGATACTTTAGAAACGCCCAGGAAATAGGCGCGTTGGAGGGGAATTACGCCGCGTCAAATTATGATGATGGGGGATTATTTCGTCTACTCTTTGAGCAATGGATGGTCGGAAGGGATAACTGATGAGAGGATTTAGGGGAATATGGCGCCTCGGAAGTGTTTAGTCGGCCTGCGGGAGATCGTGGCACTTCTCGTCCTAGCCGGTGTAGTGGAGCGGGTCATGTTGGCGTCCTGCCCGGCACAGTGCGTCTGCGGAGGGGACTACACAACCGTGTCCTGCACTAATGGGGGCCTTCAGCAGGTGCCAAAGGGGACGCCGTATGGCGCGCTTTCATTAAGCATGAGCGGTAATAACATCACCAGAGTCGTCCACCATCAGTTCGCGGGATTTAGTCAGCTCCAGACCTTGGACCTCAGCTTCAATATGATATCGGAGATCGAGGACGGGGCCTTCGTTGGCCTGGAAAGCCTGCACACCCTACAACTTTATTACAACAGGTTGACCTCTATTCCCACCGAAGCACTGGGACGACTTCCGCATCTCAAAGAGCTGTGGCTGCGGGGTAATCCCATCAATTGTTTGGACGCAGATGCTTTCGCTTACCTCCCTAATCTACAGTTATTAGACCTAGGAGAGCTAAGACATCTAGAAGCCATAAGCAACGACATGTTTTCTGGTCTTTCTAAGTTAGTCCACCTCAACTTCGCTGTTGCGAACCTACAGACCGTGCCTTACCTTGGAGAACTGGAGAGTTTAGAAGAGCTAGATCTATCCGGGAATTCAATAAAAGTAATAGACAACGAGGCGTTTACGGGCCTCTCGAAATTAAAAAGGTTGATAATTATATCATCCCAAGTGACGGAAATTAAGAGATTTGCCCTCTCGCATTTGAAAAGTTTGACTGAATTGGACCTATCGTACAATAATATATCTGCATTGCCTTCGAACGAATTCATTGAGACGCCATTGTTGGCACAGGTCAACTTGAGGGTCAACCCCTGGAATTGTAGCTGCGATATCATTTGGCTGGTAGATTGGCTGCGAAGAAAGATCAAGTCCAAAACTTGTGACGTGTGTGGGGTTTGTCAAAGCCCAAACCGACTGGAAGGGATGTCGTTGTTTGACATCAGGAGCGACGATGTGAGATGCGAAAACGGCAACAAGACAAAAAGTAGTACAGAAACCAAGATCAACATCAACGTCATGGAGGGAGATGACGCATCTCTGCCTTGTATCACAGGGAGAACAGCCGCTGTGAGTTGGATAACGCCAAATGGAACCATCTTAAGAAGTAAATCCTTTCGAGTCCGCGTCAAAGTCCTGGAGGATGGAACGCTAAACCTCACGCGTGTTACCATGCACGACGCGGGGTCCTACAAGTGCATTCCGATGGGAAACCGTGAGCCGTCTAATACCGGTGAAGTAATCACTACTCTTAACGTTACTAAGAAGGGATCACAGAAGTCTGTGAACACGGAAGTCCCTTTGTTGGAAGAACCCGTCGCTAAGGATATAGGAGATTTGTCATGTGACACCGTCAAAGACAATGGTGTTGTAAGGAACGTGTCTTTGGAAAACTCCACGACTATCGCGTCTACACCACCGTCTGTTGACACGACAGATGATGGAATGGATGTTGACTACGAGCCTGATCCGAACAAGGATAAACCAGTGGACCATCAATGGATTATCATCGGTTCAATAGTGGGAATTGTCGCGTTTGGGATGTGCTTCTGGAGTACTATCTTCATCGCCCACAGGTTCAGGCACAGACAGTGTCGGCACGATCACACCAGATCGCCCGACGATGACCAAGATGACGAGTACATGGTGAACGGGATGGTACCTCAGACATCCTTCTACGGTTTAGTCCTGTCCGAGGACCAGAAGCCAGAGTCCCCTCCCCCTGTGTACAGTATAGATGTTAATGATGAAGATGCCTGTGACATGTACCACGGTGTTAAAACGTTTAAGTCAGATAAACCTATCAAAGCTGTCAAGTCAGTCACACTTAAAGTGGAAACAGAAGTATGACATACGCTGCTGCTTACATTGATTGATTCCATTTAGTTCATAGATCATCTAACTCAAGCAATCTCTCTGTACACATGTCATCTAGACTTGTCTGATATTGTCGAAAGAAAGCTAAATTATCAGATTGGCGTATTATCATTTTGCTGTGTTGACTGCATTGATATAGGTGCAGCCAATATTGTGTTCGTGTCCTATATCTACAAAGGCAATATTTCATGTTCCCCATACTTAAAGGCAATATTTCATGTTCACTTCTCGGGTTGGCCAAATTGCTGTATTTCATTAACAGTGTCTTGATGTATTGCGTCCAAATTAACGAACCTTTAAAAGAAGCAACGTGTGTTGCTTGAAAGAAGGAAACCAAAATAAGATCGTAAGGAAAATAGCTTATCCCGAGCACCACTGATCGTCACATTTACCGTTACTTGCTGCCTTTGCAATTGGATCAGAAGTGTTGGCAACCAAAGGAATTGAAGTAAAGTATTTTATTAAACGTGATAAATTTATATTAGTGAATGTGACTTATTCACTATCATTATACAATATCAATATTGCTATAGCAATAATACGCAGGATACCATCAAAATGCAGGGTAAGCAATTTAATCACGTCACATTACGCTGGGACCAAGCGCGACCTTAATTCTATAAATACTCAAGTTTAATTATTTTGCCAAGCATATCTAGAGCTTAAGGGTGTTATCGCAATTCCATTACGTATGAATGATGGAACCCAGTGTCCAGGTACAATGGCCATCATTCAGTACAATAAATGAAGTCCGGTACTGCATTAACACGGTCCGTACAGCTATGGGACTGAAGAAGTGTCGAGCGCTGAGCATATTTGACTCATGGTTAATGCTCTATCGTTCAGTGATCATGGCACACAGGGTCTGGTGTGACAAATTGCATTGAACGGCTTAACTATTACTTTTTCTGCAGTCGATTCTTCACCGATGCAGGGCTGACCTTTACTGCATCGTGCGGTCCAGAGGACCAGTGGTTTTGCCAAAATATGAGCAGATGAGTTATTTAGTACAACCGGTTTGGTAAAATGAGTTTGGGTTAAAAGGATGAGTCCAACACCATCGCCCACTCCCAGCACGTTCTCTATTGTTATCAGCGTGAATGCAAAATGTCAAACGTATTTTTCCGTGTTACCTGCAAGCTTTGATTGATGTAAGCCAAAAAACCGTTACTCAAGGAACTGGATATGGTTTAGGAAACGGTCAGACGTCCGGTAGGTTTGTTCGTCTGACCGTTTCCCAAATCATATCCAGTTGCTTGAGTAACTGCTTTCTGGCGTATCTTATTACCTGGATGTCTAACCTTCACCGACGTATACGTATGATTCATGTATCCTGGTGGGATGTTCCCGGGATTAACAACCTAGTTTCCTGATTGGCTATATATTCTAATTCATCCGTAAAGTTCTGTCCGCCGGCGTCACCCGGGAACAAACCATTGCGAGGAAAAAATCAATGAAACGAGACCTCTGAGATGGTTCAGATTACATCGTGAACGTTGTGTGTATCTGAGTCCTATGGAAGAAAAAAAATACAATTTCGATAGATAGGGTTCATTCCCAGGACGCCGTTACTCTGCCACCAAACCCTGATTGACTCTGTGACCTCCGCCTCCAGCTCTAACCGCCCGGGATCGATTTCATTCGGCCTCGGGGTACTTCCAGACTTGACAATGCTGCCAGCGCCGGCTAGATTATAACGACCCTAAACCCTTTGCACATAGATGACGCAAAGTTGGCAGCTGTTTTGTAAACGCTGTTAGTTTACTGATGTCCTTAAAAAGGGTCGTAAACTGGATTTTTTTTTTACCCTGTGGGTCAGGAAGCTTTAAGATAGGTTTAAGATGAAGTCAAACTTTACCAGCTATGATGTACAACATAGCTAGATATATATAAATATTATATGATGAAATATTGGTCATCCCAGTGATAAATGTCACGATTTGTTTTTTTATTGCGACATTGACCCTAGGTTACAGAAAAGGGAACATGGATCTCTGAGGGTTGGTAAGTTTTAAGATAGGTTGAGACGAAAAGTCAAACTTTACCAGATATGATGTACGACATATATATGATATATATGATGGAATTTTGGTCATTGGAATGATAAATGTTGCATTTTATAGCGACATGAAATATTACAGAAAAAGGACTCCTATGTTATAGGAAAGGGAACATGGATGTCTGAGGGTTAGTACGTTTTAAGATAGGTTTAAGACGAAGTTAAACTTGACCAGCTCTGATGTACAACATAGATATATATGATGGAATGTTGGTCATCGAAATGATAAATGTTGTCTTTTATTACGACATAAAATGTTACAGAAAAAGGACCCTAGGTTACAGAAAGAAAGGAGCATGGATGTCTGAGATTTAGTAAGTTTTAAGATAGGTTGAGACGAAGTCAAACTTGAGCAGCCATGTACAACATGGATATGATGGAATATTGGGTCATCCCAGTGATAAATGTCACAATTTGTCTTTTATTACGACATTGTCCCTACGTTACAAAAAAGGAACATGAATCTCTGAGGAAGTCTTAGGAAGAGTCAAACTTTAGCAACTATGATGTACAACATGGTATGATATGATGGAATGTTGGTCATCCCAGTGATAAATGCGTCCTTTTATTACGACATTGTCCCCAGGTTATGACTAAGAATGTGAAGCTCAGGAGGCATGGACGTCCGCGCTAGCAATACGAACGTTCGATACTCCTGTATCCGCAAGTTAATACGGTACTTTTCTCACCGGTATCCAAATGGGTTATCTGGCTCAAATGTGATAACCTTTTCACCCTTTTCCATGGCACATAGGAATTAACGAGGTCTTGACCTGTGGGCCTGTTCCAGGTCCCTTGATGAATAAATATAGGGTATTTCCAGGGCCTACTGATGGTAAGGATACTGGTAGATGTAGGTTAAGGCCACACCAATTTAATTTGTTGGTTCTCGGATTTTTTCAGAAAAAAATATGAAGCGACAGGGCGAAAAAAAAATAAAAACAGGTCTAGGCATCCTATTATAGGCTTAAATGCTACAAAATGAGCCATGAAGTCAACACAAAAGGCTAGGTTAAAATTGAAACATTGAATTTTGAACTTTTAATCAAACCACTGCAATGATAGATGGGAAAACTGTAACAACTAGGAATAAAAGGACTTTCCTCAACTGTTGGGGGGCAAACATGAGCATTTTTCAGTTGATTCAGGACCAGAATCAAATTTTTTTTGGCAAATCAGAAAAAAAAACGAAGAGGCGAATCCGAGAACCAACAAATTAAATTGGTGTGGCCTAAAGTCTCTTTGTCATGATTTAAAAGGCTAGAACGCTACATTAATTTTTCCTATAACCGTGGAAATGTTACAATCAAATAACGCTGTATGTTAATATAACGAATAGTTATGTTGGAAGCGTTAAAACTATCTACATAATCATCTTCATTTACTAAAATCTATTGCCAACACTACATCTTTAACAGTTTTTAAGAACCTTGCTTGAACAAAATGATGGATATATCAGAGTGGGATACAAAATCACTATGGCTGTGCTGCCATAATCATATCAAATAACCCAAGAGTTAAAACTTTGTAGATAATATCATCTTCTAATACTCAAAGTTATTGCCAACACCAACATTTGAACAGTTTTAAGAACCTTGTTTGCACAAATAACATAAGACTTTAAACTACGTTAGATGATACTAAGATAGTATCATCTTCTCTTACTTAAATCTATTGCCTACACCAAATTTTCAACACTTTTAAGAACCTTGTAACTTGAACAAATGGTAAATTTATAGGGTGGAATAGAAAATCCCTATGACTGTGCAGTCATAATCATATCAAGTAACCCAAAAGTTAAATTATGTAGATAGTATCATCTTCTCTTACTTGCATCTATTGCCAACACCAAAATAATGTTGAACACTTTTAAGAACCTTGTTTGAACAAATGGTAAATTTATAGGGTGGAATAAAAAAATTACAATTGCTGTGCTGTCTTAATCATATGAAATAACCCATGAGTTAAAACTATTAAATAGTATCATCATTTCTTACTTAAATCTATTGCCTACACCAAATTTTCAACACTTTTAAGAACCTTGTATCTTGAACAAAGGGTAAATTTATAGGGTGGAATAGAAAATCCCTATGACTGCAGTCATAATCATATCAAATTACCCAAGATATCAATCCTTGTTATCTTTTCCATTTACGTCATTACTGTAGGATCACGGTATTATTAAATCTGTTGTACATTACAACAATGATATGGTATATTGCAATAATCTATCTAATTTCAATCAAGTGAAAATTAAGTAATATCATTATAAGATAAATTAATTCACAACAAAAAATAATGAGTCTTAAGAAGATGCGCATGATGATTGATAACTTATCACAAATACAATTATCATATATCTACGGTTCGTTGCAATCATGGTGTAGAGTAGATAGTGGTGTGTTATCCGTCATATTTATATATAAATGTATGTAAGGTTGCCCGTCATGCATTGTACACCCAGTACAGACTTAAAAATTAATGAGATATAAGAGGTTAACATGTAACCCTTAATAGCCACTCCAGCTCAAGAAAATATTTTAAAATAACTTTGTTAGCATTAACTTTTTTTTATGTCTTGGGGTGGTGGGATTACGGCGCACTGGTATGTCAACTTTGTGTATTTAAATGTCAATTGTATTTTGTTGTGTGGCGCTGTTAATATAAGTTATAAACTTGAGTGCAGCGCCACAATGTCTTTTAATGTTTTGATGAATAGAGAAAAAATCTATCGGAGATGTTGAGACAGGAAGACGGAAAAGAATGGAATACATTGATCTGTAACTTTGATTTTTCGCACAGTTCAGTCAACAGTGTCACTTCGATACATACCGTGTTAACTCGGGAAATGACCCGTAGCCGACGTTACGGGAAGCGTGTTCCTCATTTGTAGGTAACATTAAACCGTGGCATT